GGGCATAGATATTCAGTTTCACTCAGAAAGATCAGCTAAAAAAACCCGAACAAAAGATTATGCCTCCCCAAGAAACCCGTTACCCCAGCATTTGATTGGATAGTGCCAAATTCAACATGTCATTCAATCACACTTTTCAAAATCCAACTCTTGAGCTTCAAAATTAGATCTGCCGTACGTAATGTGAACAAATAAGTAGACTAGCATAGAAACATGAAAGAATTGAACCAAATGCTACTTTTCATAATTCTTTTGTAAAAGATCAAAATTTTAAGAACAGAATATTTCATCTCTCTAAGAAAAAAGCGTATCGGATTCACTAATTTGTCTCGCCTAATTACAATAATTGAAACAGATCACGATACCACTGTCCAATTGCATGTAATGAGCTCACAAAATCAACACCTGTAAAATTGAGTTAAATCTAAACAAAGAGAACGCTAGATCCGAGCCAGACTCCCTTAAACACTAATAGATCTAGCAAAACTCCATAATTAACAACACAGCACACAAAGTATAGCAGCAATCGATAGATCAAATCAAATTCATTTAAATCATTAACATCAACCCATTCACCGACACAATTTCTCAGATCGGCGAATTATCAAAGAAATTAATCAAAAGCCGTAGAAATCCGTCCCCATTTCTTTACACCGACACATTAAATCAATATCATTTCTTCTTCACACACACATGCACATAAAATGCGCATAAAAACATCACATCTACCGACACTTATCACAGTGTGTATGTGTGAAACACTACACAAAAGTATTGAATTTCAAATACGAAAACGAAAATTTCACCTCTTCGATCGCACCTTTGGAATTCCGAAATCGTTATTGGAAGTGAGAGAGAGGTGCGAAAATCTGTGAGAGCGGGCACCTCCTTTAATAGTCGTTGAGAAACCACCATCTGGGCATGGAATTTTAGCGAAAGGACAATAATATCCCTCTTTGATAGGTTTGGCAGGGACAAAATTTGGAAACAATAAAATGACTGAATTACCCTTTTCAGTAATGAAAATTTAGAAGGAAAAAAAATGAAGAGTGTGTTTGATAGGGGATATTTTACATGGATCCATTTTCCATATTTTGGCATGTTTGATGATACAAATTTTTCCCAGAAAACTTTTTCCACAATTCTTTCACACATGTGCCAATTCCATGATTTGGTNNNTTGGAAGCAATAAAATGACTGAATTACCCTTTTCGGTAATGAAAATTAGAAAGGAAAAAAAAATGAAGCGTAATGGAAAGTACAGGGAAATTTGCAGTAGAGGTCTCCGATCTTTCAAAAATGTAGAATACAGCTCCGAATATTTAATCATAACAATTAAGTCCAAACCTTTGAATAAATGTCTCGTATGAGGACATCTAGACAGTTTTCTAATTGTTTTAAGTAAAACTATTAAGATGCTCTTTTTTTCTTCTTTTTAAAATTGATCAAATTAAGATCAAATGATTGTTTTTTGGTCAACTAATGATTATATGAACATAAATCATCCGAAGTCCTTCTACCACCCATTTATTGAAAGATTTGAGACATAGTTGCTATAATTTAAAGGTATGAGATTGCATTGCACACTTTTAAAAAGTTTAAGACCTCTGCTACAAATTTTCCTTTTATACACATTATAGAATGTGTTTGACACCCATTTTTTGTGAAAGAATGTGTTTTTGAATAGTGATTGATGGAAGAATGTGTGGTTAAAAAGTATGGAGAATTTTTAGGTTTATGTGTAATATTATTTTATTGATAGAATGTGTGGTTGAAATGAAGAAAGAGAAAAAAAAATGAGAATGAGAATGAGAAAAAAATGGGTGCCAAACGAGGGCATAGTTTGCTGGTGCACGCGGGACGATTTTCTTACCACCAATGGAATTATAATATCACAATTTTTATTATCTCTGTCATGTTTTAATTACAATAAAATTCCACAATTTTACTCATTTCGGCACTATAATTAAATTAGAACATCTATCGAAATTGAAACGAACGACATCTATTTCACGTGATTGAACTTTTAAAAATACGTCTCTCTCTTCTATGATTATATCGAAATTAAATATTTACTAAATTTGATTTATTACTTTTACATTTATAGCATAATTCACTTTATGTATTTATTACCACGTTTCTATTTATGCTGTGGGGGCACAAATATTTCTATGGAGTTTCTTTAACAAGAATCATAAATTTCCAACATAAATTATTTTTGATATATATGATTATAAGTTGAAATCGAAAGTTTATGTCATACAAGGATGGAATGGAACTTCCTACATTAATTTTTTCAAAAAAAATTTATTTTAGTTTTTTTTTTAATCTTAGGATAAGTTTTGTAAATAAAACTTGAAATGAATTCTTCGAATCTTAAAAGAAATACTTAAAATTAACTTATATTTCGTGCGAGTTTATTACTATTAGAAAATACGTATAGAACAGTATATTTTTAAAATCAGGGCATGACTCGCAAATGCTTTAATAAAGATAAAAAGAAAACGTTATGTCAAAGGCAAATAAATAATTAAAAATTGGAAATTTAATGGGATATGATTTTGATGCAACTTAAATTAAGGCATTAATTATAAGCAAAAAAGCTAACTTCAAAATTAAGAATGAAACTGCAGCTTTGATTGTGGTTGTGACCTTCAAAAACTTTTAAGTGAAATTTAAGCCACCATACAATGATGAATTTTCAAATCAAAAGCATTAAACTAAAAGTTTGGTTTCAATGATTAATCACTAAGCCTCTAATTTAAAAATGAAATGAGTGATTATGATCTAGAAAAGTTGAATGAAGGTAACATGGGCTTAGGTCCATTCTAAGATTTGGACCATGACAGAGATCTGAACCCAAGGAGCAGTTTTAGGTAAGCTTAAAAATTTTACTTATAAGTAAATAAATAATTATTTATTAGTTAAATTTATATACGTTAGTTACTCAATTTGACAGTAGAATTACATTCAGAATAAATAATTTTTTCTTTAAAAATTTAAAGTAACAAAAAAAGCATATCCAAGCATTGTTAAGCAACAAAAAATATTTAATTTTAAATTTTTTAAAGCCTAACCAGACATGCTCTAAATATACCCTTTCGAATATTGGCTCATTGCCTCATATGTAGGGATGACAATGGGGCGGAACGGCCCTCCCCGCCCTGCTAAGAAATTCTCCGCCACGTTACCCGTTTAAATATTTTTTTTTTTTATATAATTTATTTTTATTGCCTATATTCATTAGATTTAGATAAATAATTTTAAAAAAATAAAAAAAAAATAAATAATTTAAAGGGGCGGGGCTCCCGTTACCCGCCCCCGCCCCGATACCCGCGAGCGTCGAATTTTTTTGCCATCCCTACTTAACTATTCAAAGAATGAGACGTGCAAGTAATTAGTAAGAGGTAAAACGGAATGGAAACTCTTCAATTGAATGTTAAATTACCATGAACCTATACGGTCCAGGTCCGAGTCCGAACAAAAAGTCAAGAATTATGATAAATTCACACAACAAAAGATTCTAGTATTATATAATTCTAGACATCCTCTACAAAACATGTTGAGGATGACAATGACAATGAGAATTACTTGGACAAAATGACGTTGAGGATTTACATTTATTGAAAAAAAAAAAGGAAAAAAAACTAGAGTTGAAATGCTAAAAAAAGGAGCAAAGTCAAAAACTTACCCAAGTATTGCATAAAGCTACTTACATTTGAATAGGACCCCCCTATTACAAGCTACTTTCAATAGAAGATTGTTTCTCTAGAGTCATGTATCTGAAAATATGGGCCACTGTGGATGTCAGTTCTGAAAGGAATGATAGAATGTAATAAGGAGCCTAATCGTATTTCACATCGTTCGCTAGGCTTAGGCTTAGTTATAGGAGTATAACCAATTGGACACCCATACTTACAAGTTTAATATGAGGATGAGTCCTATCTATGTGATTGTTTAAAACACAAGACAACATTTGATTTTCTCGTTTCGAAGTACATAGAACAACTGATATAGTATATTCTTTAAATTTCCTTTTAACTACCTTCTCAAATATTTAGTATTTTCCTTAGCATTCTTTGGGAGTAAAGTGAAATTGATCTTTGGTTCCCCATTTTCGAAACGAAGGAAAATGGCTCTTGGGACTACGCCGTTGGACCTTACGAGTGAACCGGAACATAGTCCATAAGTATTCTTAGAATCAACGGTAGGGACGAGACGATGTGACATATGGTATAAGTGCAGATTTCTCAAATCTGCCTCTTGTGGTGTGCTTTAACACAATCTATAATCACCAAGGCAAGATATGAAGACAACCCATTATAGAACAAAGTTTCCATCTAAATATTATCCGCATCTCAAGCTCTCATGAATAGGAAATTCATCCACATTTACAGTAGAGAAACGGCTCTAAAGACTTGGAAAAATATGCTGCACATTCTCACAAACCACTTCACAATTCTTGAATGTGGTGATGTCCCAACTACAAAATTTAACCTGCACGATGTCGGCCCTTGCTTGTTGTGGTACCAATTGTCCTTTTTTCCATCCACTCTCACCCGTGCAGATATCCATGTGCTGCGGCTGAGTTCATGACAAGATGCTCGAAAAGGACTGACTAACCGGAATCAAATGTGGTGTCTGGCTCCAACTAAGGTACATACCAGTTTAAGTAGTTACCAAATTCAACTGACAGTCAGACAGATATCAAAAATTCTAAAAACAATCCATTACTTCCATCTTTAGGTCATAAAATTTTAGCAAGAAACTTGACACTAGTAAAACGACAGGGTTGTATATTCCACCGAGATCACATTTATAAATGAAATCTAAAGAAAATAAAATACGACTACTTGCTCAGATAGTACACATGGGTGAAACTTAATAAAAATTACCAGAGTGAAAAAAATTACGACAAGGCTCACATTTGCAACCAAAATTTGTTCAAAGATTTTTTCTAGGAGCTCTCTTCAACAAGCTTAAGCTGAAGCCTTAATCTATCAAGGTGCAACAACAGTAATCCTTCCAGCAACTTGGTCAAGATCCCGTCGCCCACTGGATGTGATTCTTCTTCCACTGTAAAATAAGCAAACTTAGTGTCAGGATAGCAACCAAAAAATGTCACATATTCCATGGAATGACAAGCATAGTCTTACAAAGAGAATTTTCTGAAAGTGCCGCACATACTTTTTGATTGTGGAGAAATAAGTTCAGAGTAAGTAAATTATGAAGGAATTAAGTCATTTTTTTATTTAGCACGGCTTTATATCAAGAATTGGTTATGAGTCCATATTCCACTTACAATTGCAGGCAGGCATCATCTTATGACAATTAGTGATTAAAAAGTAAAAACACAAGATTAAATTCAGCTCAAGCAATTAAACTTACCCCCTTGGATCCATATCGATGATGTTCATGTTTTGCAACTGTTGAAGAATGTGGCGCGCAACGGACCCACTGCTTTTTCCAAAATGGGGTGGACGACTTCCATTCCTCTTACTCCCACCATAAATTCTCTGGAAGGCACCGACACCAAGGCCTCCCCTTAAATATATTTTCCTAGCCACAGAAGCTGCAATGCATGATAAACAACAAATAATTGACACTAACCTCAAGGTGAAATTATCAATTACCAAATTAAGAAGTTACTCTTCAAAGTATCAAGATATTATTCCAGGTATGAGTTACTTTATACTGGCTTGAATTTGAGTTTCGAGCTATGACAATTATCAACTTGATTTATCAACTTTCAAGATCTAACATTTTCCTTTCTCGCATGTAAAGTAAGTAAAAATCAGAGGCATTATGCCTCAAATGGACAACCTGACCAGTCAACATTCACACAAATAGACCCACAAACATATACACAGAGATATGGTGGGCATGAGGAATACCTGATCTAATAAAGTACCAGTCAGGATCATATGGAGCAAGTTCTTTGAGTACTCCAGTTTTCACAATATCGGTCCACTCGGGAAGCTCCATCTATTTTTCAGAAACAATAACAAAATGTAATCAATATAGCTGAAAGGGTTGAAGATCCCCTCCCCAAGTTGTCATAGGTTTGTTTGGGGTTTCTGAAGACTGCAGTGTACAAATACAGCATATATTTTCATAAAAAGAAACACACAAAACAAACAATTCATTGTGCTCTGCTTTAAGGCTCTGAAATGCAAGAGGTCAACCATAACACAAACATCTCTCTTCACCAAGCTAGAAGTTAAAATGTAGATGAAATATCTTCTAATATAACTTGGATGAGAAAAATTGACAATGTTTTTCCTTTCCTCTTCCTACTGTAATTCTTTGCCTAGAGGGAACTGTTATTTCTTCAACAGCCAAATGATTAATTTATCCCTCTAAGGGATCATTAGAAGGTAATCCATCTTAATCTTTCCCTTCCACCTATTCCTTCAAAGAAGAGACGGACCACATATATCAGTCTAAGATTTCATCCCATGAGCAACACAAATTACAATCCTGGCATAATACCACAATCTAAACAATACACCAATAAAGAACGCTGCTATAAGCCCCTGTTTGACAACTATTATTTCAAAAGTCTTTAATTCTCACTCATTTTCAATCAAACGTTTATACAATAAAATATTTTGCACCTAAACCCAAAACTTTTCACACCTTTTAACCACATTCTTAGATAAAAATCACTGTTCAAAAATCCATTTTCTCAAAATAATGGACATCAAACATGGGCTTAAGCATGTGACACATATGCCAGATGGTACAAACAATACAGCCTTGTCCAGAGGGTCTTAATTGAGCCTTAAAAACTGAAGTATTCACACTCTTATTTCGTTATCCCAGTTCTTCTTCCACAATCGCTTCTAATTTCCCCCTCCTAAACATCACAATAATGTTCATTTGACAATAAAATCAAAAGATGAAAATATCTGGAAACCAAATGCACGAGTACACACATAACCAAAAAATCCAGACAGAGAAAATAAATCAATAAAGATGAAACCCACATTTCTGTCTGCGGATAAACAATTAAAAGAAAATAAATCAATAAAGATGAAACCCACAGTTCTGTCTGCGGATAAACAATTAAAACATTTATAGAAGTAATTATACCTTGCCAGAACGCTTGAGGTGTCCGGCATAGGCCTTGACAAATTCATGGGGTGAGACGTCCTTCACAGTTTTAGCAGTCGCCATTGATGCAGATCTCGAATCACGCGCAGCTCGCAATACTGCTTGAGAGAGGGACTGAGTCGCTGACTGTATACAAATCAGGGTTTCTGTTCGTGTTAATTACTCAATATATGTGTAAACCCGGTTGGTTCAGTTCAACACTTCAACCAGTTAAGTTCGTGGTTCTGTTGGAAATGGGTCAAGTTTGACCAATAATCAGGGTGGGACCCGGTATCCATTTTGTGTGGGTCAATGGGCAAACTCATTCTATTCCGCGCGTAGATATTCGTGATATATTTGATTTCACAAAACCATTTCCGGATGAATGAGAAATTAATACTAGAAGTTGGCAACTTGAAAGTAAAAATCCTGAAATTTAAAATCAAGTGTGTGAACTTTATCCCACATAGGAAGTTGAAAGAATTTTGAATCAATTTATATACCTCAAGGTTGGATATGGGTTTGGGCCCCAAGGGGTACCAATAGTATTTGAAAGGGGAAAGTCTTAGACAATGTATAGACTAGTCCAAAACCCACACGCCGTAGCCGCCGTCCAACCAGCTGGCTCGGCTCGGCACGACACAAGCACAAGCCGGGGTCGGATCGGGTGTCGTGGTTGGTTCCTATATTCTTTTTGGACAAAATAAATTAAAATTGTTTATTTAATTTATTTTTATTTTCAAAAATTGATTAAGTGGAAATGTGTGTATTTTCAACATATTCGAAACTGTTCGGACTAAAACGGACACAAACTGATAGTTGTGTCTATTTAGGAATAACTTTCAAGGAATTGCAACTCTTGACCTGCAGCTTTTGGAAATCTATAAATAGTATCCATGATTTCCGAATTTGATTCATTTAATATCATTATTCTCTTCTCTNATGCTATATAATTGTTTCTAACATGTTCTGCTATTTTTCCTTTATATTTATAAATATAAATATAAAGATAAACTGTTTAAATTATAAATAAATAAAAAGTAAATAATATATAAGCGAATAAAAAATTATTATAAATATATTTTAAACATTAGGCAAATATATTCAGTCTTTTTTTCTTCTTTTGCGTAAAAAACTACTTGTAAATAAATTTAATTGTAATTACATAATTGAACTACCCTGAACAAGTTTTTTTTATGGAAAGTTGACGTAAGTAAATTATTTATTTTAAGCTTTTAACAATAATTTTCCATTACTGTAAATACAAGTACTACATTTTGAATATTTTGGACTCGAGAGGACACATACTACGCTGGAAATGAAGTTCGCTCATCCCAAGAAGAGAATGTCAATCTCTCCCCCATGGATGCCCCATTCACAAGGGAATACTGCAATTTTGTCAGATGTTTTCTGAATGAAATTAACTTGTAGCAAAAATGATTGCAGGACAGTATTGACCCTTTTTTAAATTGACTAACGACATAATATCACGTGACATTTTATCATCCAAAATATCCAAATATTCTGATAGACAAGCATGATTGTTCACAAGTTCATTGGTGAAAAATTATCAACACTGTACAAAAGCTGCCTACAACATAGTTCAAAGGGTATATGCCTACCTTGGGAACAAGTTTCCCCATAATTTCTGATAAGACATCAAATATCAATCTCAATGACTGTAAGAGCCTGTTTGAGCCTCATTTTCTTTTAAATGAAAATGCATTTTGAAATAGTATTTCGATAGAGAATATGTGGCTAAAAAATAAGGAATCGTTTTGAATTTACGTGTAATATAATTTTATTGAAAAATGTGTGATTGAAAATAAAAAAGAAAAAATATATTTTAGAAATACAGAGAATGAAACGACGACTTAAAATCCTAACCTAAAGTATGCAAAATGGGGATGCGATTTAACTACTAAAGCCATCTTCAAATGAGACGTCAAAACACCAAAATGCACCAAAAAATGGTACAAAATGTCTCCAATATAGTGTAAAGTCAATTTTACCCTTTGTTTTCATTTTCTAAACAAATTGATTAAGAGTATTTGTATCATTTGTGTTATATATTTTTAAATTATTATTATAATAAATTTTATTAATGTAAAAAATAATAGTTAATGAATTTAATATTTTCGTTAATTAAATGTAATTATTTATTTAATAATTTATGTAGTTGTAAAATAAATAAAGAAATAATTTTTCAAATGAATAAATTGTTAAGAATAAAAAAAATGAAGAAAACGATTAAACATTGTTCATTTTGTGTAAGTTTTGGTGTAATGGTTAGATATGATTTCTAGTTTGGTGCAAAATTTAGCTCAAATTTTGGTACAAGACTAAAGATAGCTCAAATTTAACTCATATAAGTTCGTTTCTCCAATCCCTTTGCTTTTCTTTCTTTACCTGTATGTATTTACGGTTAGAATCGATGTTGCTACTGCCTTTTCTACTACACTTATGTATCCTCCTTGCTCCACCACCCCATTCTTCATCATCTTCATCGAGGTCATAATCACATATGGAAAATTAAAAATAATTTGTTCAACTTTCGCCCAAATATTTGTGTTAGTCCGGTTCTAGTTTGAATTTCAATTCAATACTCGATCATCTAAATTTTGTTAAATAGACTACAATTATTAAATACTATTTTTATGACATTCATGCACCGTGAATATCTTATTTTCAAATTGGCATTTTATTTAATGTATGTTTGACTAAATTTACTTATGATAGTTAAGTAAATTTTATAATGAATAATGTTATTTATCATTATAATAATAGATCATCGGTGATGCAGTAGTTTATGTAGAGTAATGAGATTGGACAGTTCAATTTTTATAAGAGAGAGATGAGGAGAGGAGAGAGAGAGAGAGAGAAATGTGAGGGAAAATGAGTTACCCATCATCGATATTCCATTATCATGATGATAAAAAAACATTACTCTTTATAATAAATAATTTGTATTTGTCAAATCTAAAAATTAATTATTTTAATAGTAAGAGACACTACATGTTTTGCTAATTTTAAAAGTAATTAATTTTTTATTACTACGTTTGTTTTCACATATCACTTATTCATACTTATAAGAAAAAATTGCTTATTTTGACCATGAAATAGATGTTATGATCAAAATAAAAAACTTGCTCTAGATTTGATCTTGTCAATAAAAAAGAATAGTTTTTAACATTTATTTATTTATATATGAATCTATATATAAGTATATTCTTGAAATTGAGTCAAAACATCTAATTTTTTTAGACCCTAATAAACTTTAGTCGATCTTTCTTACTTTGGATGAGATTTCCCACTCGCTATGAAATGAAGTGATATAGAAAATTGTAGTCCACACCAAATAGTATTTTCTGGCTGTGCCTCTGTCAACGCCCATCATTCGGCTAGACTACAGGAATTTCTCAGGGTCAAGCGTTTCCTTTTGATGTTTGCTGTGTAGGTTGAATAGTCGTTGTTGTCTTACCTCAGTGAATTCTTGAACACCTAAGAAGCATTGAGCAGTGAACCTTTACATATTAACTTCTAGAAAGAAATGACTAAAACAAAACCAAATTCATGTTAAAATCAATCAAACTCGCATCATACTACTTTTAAAACTCATAATCGTGTGTAGAATGGTGGGACATAGAAGTACATTGATTTCAATAAAACAAAAACAAGGTGAAAAGAACATAAATAAGTCTAGTCTGACTCTCGTTAAATTAAACACTATAATTTTTTTCTAATATAATGAACTAAACTTAAAAAAGAAGAAGTAAAATTCAAATTAAAACTAGCACGTTTGGTACACATTAAAATGAGTGAATGCATTTTTTTGAAGTGATGCGATGGAGAATATGTGGTTGAAAAAGAAGGAAAAGTTATTGATGTGATGAAAAATATTATTTTATTGAAGAATATGTGGTTAAAAATGAGTAGAAAAATAAGAATGAAAAAAGTAATGTGGATCAAAATTTTTTGAAGTGACGTAATGTAAAATATGTGTTTGAAAAAGAAGGAAATATTATTGATATGATAGAAAATATTATTTTATTGAAGAATGTGTGGTTGAAAATGAGTAGAAGAATGAGAATAAAAAAATAATGTGGCCCAAACAGGGGCTAAAATTAACTAAACTTAGAAAAAACTATAGTCCATGACCCGACAACGGCGCAAAAAACTTGATCTTTTGAAAACCCGCAAACGCACAAGATCGTGGTTAAGTAATATAATGATGAATAGAGTGTCGAACCCATGAAGACTATTTGTTTGACTGAGTTAAAATTAATTGCAAGTTTAATCGAATAGCAAAAAAAAAAATTTGTGATTTTTTCTATGCTAATACCTAAATTATCAATTAAACTAATGAAAGTAAGTAAAAGTATTTTTCAAATATGTGAGATGCATAATCTCCCTTATTATTTCATTTTTAGTGTAACATTTAAAGTGACAATTTGAAATCATTCATGTTAGTTAATGTTCCTAATTTAATTGAAAGTCTTTCTCAATAGAGATCAAATTTATTCCCCTCATGCGACCCTTCTATTTCTCGATGAAAAATGCAAACATAATAAATTCATTAACAAGTGTTAGAACACCTATTGAAATCTAATAAAACATAGAGGTATATCTCTATCATTTATCGAACCTTACAATATTTATTATATTGTGCTTAAACCTTATCGTCTTTATCAACAACAATAAAATCCACTAACAATTCAATTGGTGATCAAGCAATTGAAAGAATGATAAAAACGATAACAAATATCCACAAATTAAATCAAATTAAAGTCAAAATAATTAATTAAAAACTAAAAATATCATAACAATGGTTCATCTTGTCCTAACAATGTATAAAACTAGCTTAACATATCGAAATTACAAGAAATCATATTTAAGTGAAAAGACGTTACCCAGATTTTTGATAAATTGAGAAGACGAAAATAAATCTTGAAATCTTGAATCTCTTTAATGGTTTCTTGATAAACATCCACTTGCACATTCTCTTCTTTGCCCAAAAATCAAGTTCGAATTTTCACTTGATTGAATTCTTGCAAGTCTCCTTCAATTCTCTCACAAAAACTATG